GAGAACCTCCTGATTTGGTGAAGGCATTCGTGCTGCCGCTGCTGCTTCAAGGCATGAACTTGAAGAGGGCATACATCAATGTGTAGTTTTTATTGTGGAGATGGGGAAAATGAAGACACAGGGCGCCACCTGCCTGCCAGTTAAGATCCCAAACAACTTTCTTTACCAACTCCCAGCTGCTCTGTTTTCTGGAAGTTGCCTCTTTCCTTTGGGTGAGATCTGGCGGGTACCTTGCTAAACACTGTGGGTTGGACCTGGCTTAAGATCTAAGCAATTGGGCTGGTAGCAGCAGTCGTCTAGCTTTCCAACTCCTAATGGCATCTGTTCCAGGTACTGAAATTGCTACACAGCTGAATGGGGCAAGCTGTGCTGCAGGGTAGGGAGTGATCTCCAAAATTGCTCAGAAGCACTTTCCATGTCCCAAACCTGACCCTCTCCCATATTTTCATATGCATATCCATGCACCGATTACAGAGTGCACTAGTTCCATTCCACATCTATTCCTGCATGCCCAGGTGAGTCAGGAAAGCCCTTAGCAGGCTGCCGGTGGTGCTTCCTTTCTGCCAGCCACATATGACTTTCAGGTGGGGCTACTCTACTGGCAATGTCATGCAGGACCTGCATAGGGGCAACACCTAGCAGAAACTGAATGGGAAGACCTCCTCTCCTGCAAGAGTTGCTCCTCCTCTTCATCACTGCAACCTGCTGGTTGGCTGCCTCTCACCCAGGCTCAAACAACAGTGCTGGTGACAAAGAGGAGCAATAATTGCCATGGCCTACTCACTTACTGGCTCTCTGCCTGCCAAGCAAGCAATGGTGGTGCTAATTAGAAAGAGGATGAGAAGTAGCAGCAGCCATTGACAATGCTGGCAAGAAAGTGGATTCAGTGAGGTGGGGGGGGGGCACTGAGAGTGTCTTGGCCAAGGATTTGGTGGCATTACTTAGCTAGCTTTCTGTGGGGAAGATGCCTGGTGAGGTTTCTCCTCTTTGAGGGAGCTGTCCACCATCTGCTTCCCCATCCTTTCCTTGCAGGGTACCCTTTGGAGGAGAGTAATGGGAAACCAAATAGAAGGAAAAATTGAGGGTGTAAGAAGAATCAAGCACAGATTCACAGGAGTATTTTCACCGGTGGCATGTTAAAGAACATAAGACTGCAAATTCTTGTCTTCTCCACCTGAAACCAAGATTGGCACTTCCCCATAAAACAAGACTCCAAACTGTTTTTCTTTTTCTCTCTTTTTTATAACTGGTGGTAAAACTTTATTATTCAAGTTTAGATGTAACAGACATCTTTTGCTGCCTGAAGAATTGTTTGCATAAGAAATACACCAGGAACATCTTTGTGAGTAGAAATGAACATGCACTATGAAAACAGGAAGGAGGGGGAAGGGAAGGAGAAAAACACAAACAGGGAAACCAAAAACGAAATTCCGATGTATTGTAAAAGACAGAACAGTAACACATATTCTGGAGTCAATTCAGAGCATTCTGGAGTCAGAACCTTTAAAGGGTTTTCTTGGGAGCACAGCCTCATTCTATAAATGACACTTGTGAATCTTGCTATTAAGTGCTAATGTAATTTGAGATGCTGTCCTTTATTCCTTTTCCAGAAAAGGGGAAGAACATGTCTAGAAAAGTGTAGCAGCCCTAGCATGGACAATCACCTATAGTGGTCGTTTGAGGTGTCAATAGGAGTGGGCAAGTAAGGAATGGAGAATACAATTGAACCCATGAGACACATTCTACTGGATCGTCTCCTCCATGCAAGGATAGCTTGTTGTTTAAGTTCTTGTACAGTTCCCATTAATTTCAAAGGGGCTTGCACAACAGAATGTCCTAGGGATCTGGGCACCATCTCAGCTGGTTGTAAGGAGACGTGACTAGGGATTTTGACCTGAAGCAGTGTGGCGTCTTGGCCCAACCTGGAAAGGTATGACAGCTTGGCTATGGAAGTGGACTAGGGGATGGGTGCGGCAAAAGCTCATTCTTAACCATCTCCCAGACGTTCTAGTTTGCTTTGGGTAATCACTCTTTTTAATCTTCATGTAATTCAGCCAATCACATTGGCTTTTTCTTTGCCACAATAGCTGCCAGTTTAAAGCAGTTATAGTACCCACACTATTATTAAGCAGTCTTTTGTGTCGTTCTTTTTTTCAGCCTATTAAAAGAAAATGGTGGATACAGCCTCCTACTCATTGGTTGGGATCCATCCATGTGGAGCCCTTCAAGTCGAGGTGCACTCTCATTAACTTCTCTGTGATGGAAGCATTCCTAATATACAAGCTAGGGAACATCCAAGATATCTACTGTCTTTGGTGGAAGGTGGAGGATACTGGTATGTGGTTGGTAAGGAGCAAATCCTTTTCAAACTGGGCAAATGTTCTGAATTTACAGAAGTGAGCAAGTCCCTGGCTATCCATCATTAGGATGAGGCCTAAACAAGTCAAGAATGCCGAAATGGAGGAATATTTTGAAAGGGGACATGCAATTCCAAAAGAGTAAAAGAGGGCATGGAGTTGAACAGATTATAAATATACTTTTATTGGCACTGCACTTAGGCATTTCTATCTATTGATTAATAATATTCTTTTAACAGTAGCTAAAAACAAAGTAATATACATAGAAAGATACAGGGTTGAGTTGTTTCCACAACACCCACTGAAGTGTAAAGGCCTGGTAAATCTCTTTCACTACGTATTTGTAGTTCATAAAATACCTTCCTTCCCCTTAACAATTCATTTGAACTCTAACATCACTCCCGCTCTCTTTTTCCCCTTGTGGCTAGCAAACATTCATCTACTACTATATAAATAGGGTGGCATCAGATTTTATTTACTGAACTTAAACCATATAGACAGGAAAATGGGCCACATGTGGAAAACAGACTTCTGATTTAGCGTATACTCCTATAGCCTCCTGATGTTGTCCGTGGGGGTCATAGGATTATCTGGAGTCCCAACTTTGAGACCCTGTGATGCTGGAACTGGGACTCCAAAGACCAAGCCTCTGCTGCACCCCATCACAGCCAGAATGGGAAGAATGGTGTCAGCAGGCTTTCCTGAGGCAGCCCAGGAGGGTGTTTGCAGCAGCAGGGGCTGAGGAGGGGCTGAGGGCTTATGGCCTTTCCTTTTGGCATCCCAAACGCCTTCCTTCCTCATGCACACTACTTTATCCAGATGGCCAAAACTAGCCATCTAGATAAACGTCAGGGCACAATGCATGGCAGTAGTGGAAGTCAGCGGAGTGCTGGCAGGAGTGCACTGCTCGTTGTCCACCTGTGCTTGCACGCACCAAGCGTGGGGGTGAGAGGGCCACGCCCTCACAGAATATATTTTGCGTAGATGGTTGAGATCCTACTTTGTAATGATGAAATGTTCACAGCCTTTAAATTGGACTGGATAATTTGAAAAGTAGTTAATCAGCTTCCTTCTGTACTAGACTTCATTTTGCCTTGATGTTTCAGCCAAGCTCCTGCGTTACTCCTTTCTTTCCAGCATAAGGTGTTAACTCCTCCCTCTCAATGCCTGGATGTATCTATGGAGCTGGATAAGAAAGTCTGAGTAAGGCAGAAAGCTGAATAAGAAATTTTGCTAAGGGTTCGTTTTTTCTTGACCTGCTAGAAAAGCATGCGTCTGGAACCCGTTTTCATAAAAAATGCAGGAGTGCCCATCACATGCATTTAAGCGTTAAGATGGCATGTGACCCTTTTATTATTTTGTTTTCAGAATCAAAACAGAGAGGAGTGTTAACTGCTGACAGGATTGATCAGCAACTGAGCAGTATGTTTCTGGGTGTCCCTGTTTTCGAATGTCTTGTTTGGGAAACTAGTCCAGGTTTGCCAAGGTGAGAGATACTATTTAAGCAAAAATAGTGTATAGGCCATAGGGACAGAAATAGGTTGCTGCACCACACATTCTTAGAACTAGATACAACCAGGTACTTCAGTGTCTTACTGCAGGAAGAGTGGAAGCAGTACTTTGGGGTGGGAGGTATGACCCTCCTTATAATAGAGGTGGGAAAATGCATGTTTGACAAAGATAAAACACTTTGTAAACATAGGAAATTAGCTTGTCAGGGTGACATTTCAGCTAGACATTAGTTTTCTGTGAACAAGGAGGCTTTTTTGTCACTTTGCTTTGCATTTAAATGTCAAGGAACATTCAAGATAAGGTAGGCATGTCATGAGTGGAGCTGGCTACAGCTGGAGGTCAGACTAGATGGCCTGGGAGACACCTTCTGACTTGTTCTGTTTCTATGATGGGAAGGCCACATTGGCAATCTGCATTGAACTAGTTCTTATGTGTTGCAAACTGAAGAGGAATTGATTGTAATAGGCTGTGTCTGACTGTGTCTGTCTATCAATGGAGCAGACTCTACAGAATGGACTCTCCATCCCACTACAAACCCTACCTCTCTCCCCAGAATCTACACCAGAGGTTTGAGATGGCACAGGGGAAGAGTGCAGGTGGGGGGAAAGATAAAGTCCACTCACATGATATGGGAGGCAACCCAATGCACCTGCACGCACATCCACAAATTGTGGGTTATATCCTCTGAACAAACAAAAACCTAGCCCACTTCTACTTATCACAAACTCCACTTAGTGTAATCAAAGGTTGTCAGGCTGCCATGTGAAATCAGATGAAGCAAACCATGGTTTGTTGTTGGGTTAACCACTGGGTTGATTGCACAAAGCAAAGGTTGTTTAGGCAAAGTGGAAGGGGCTCACATGGGATGTGTATCCTGACAGGTGTTAGGCTAAATAAACCATGTGAATGTACCAAGTGTGTGAAGATGAAGTGTTTGTGGCACTCCCTCCCATCTTCAGCATTTTTTAAAAAACTTTTAAACAAAGCTAGAAACACTCCTGGCCTCCATGAAAATAATGGACATCACATGTAAAATGCATTACTGAAAAGGAAGTATGCTTAGAACAACTCAGTATGTTAAGTAAAAGAAAATAAAAGAGAGAGAGAGAGAGAGATAAATCTATCAATATAGACAGATTGGGTCAATCTATTTAATATTTTAATGATTTTTACATACGTTAAATGTTACAACAGAGAGCTCCATCCTGCCACACATTAACAGGTTTATTTCTTTGCAAAGTTCTCCAGATCATTTTAGATAGTAAACTATCAAGCAACCACACTTCTCCCACAGTGTCCTTCTTTGAATCTAGCACTAGTGGTCCAAGGCTGGGGCAGGCAACATTAAGTTTCAGCTTCTATTCAGCTTACCAAGGTATTTTGCCTCAATTAGCTTTTTCTTCTTTCTCTCAGGAATAGCTTAGGCTTAGAACCTGCATTCAGTGTGGCCTAACAGAGCTGGGGTTCATTTAGAAGAACCAGAACATAAATACAGGTGGCCTGAAAGGTTGCAAGTTATTTAGCTGCATTAAATATTAATAGAATTTAATTTTTATAATTTTAAACAATGGCCTAGAGCTTGTCAATTATGCCAGTGCCTTTGTAATCATTGACCAGAACACTAGAAGGTGGGAATGAGTTTACCGCTTCGCAAGCAATTGGATAGAATACAGCCAGCATGCTTTTATCCTCATCCACAGGGTAAGAATATTCCGTGAAGAGCCTGGAATTCTCCTTTGCAGCATATGCTCTTTAAGCTCGCCTTTGACAGTAGCCCTGAAGGCTGTCCCTGGCTCAACCCAATAGAGTGGAACATTTGTGCCAGAAGCTTGATTTGGCAATGGCTGTTTATCTGTTTTAATGGAAGTCCATAAAAAAGGAGAATCTATTTCAGCTCCTGCTATTGACACAAGGGTTGGTGGTGGGGAACTGCAGGTGCTTCACATTGCTGAAGCATAAGCTTTCTAGTAGGAAGAATCAGTATATCATCCTTTTCTAACCAAGAGTACAGCCTCAAGCAGATAGTGAGCACCGTTCTTGACAATGGCCAAACTCAAGCCTTGTAACTGTCAAACTGAGTGAGGGCCACCATACATCTACTGTGGCTTCCCAGGTGCCCAATAACTTGGGCTTCTGCAGTCCTGAGGACACAGTAAAACTAGAAGGTAAATCAAGTCCCTGAGGGATTGCCAAGGTAGGCCACATTTGGTGAGTCAGACCTGCCCATAGCTATAGAACAAGCACTGGATCAAGAATCTGTAGACTTCAAAGCAGGCTTGCTATGGCTTCCAAATTGGAAGAATGATTAAATAGCAAGTTGCCCATGAGAACTGTAACTCTTGTAACCCACCCAAGGTCACCAAGACCTTTGGTAGCCGGGTATATGAGTGCTTCTCTTGCAGGTTAAAAATTCCCTCTGTTTCCTTTAAATGTAAATTTGGAATGGACAAATGGAAACTTACGATGGATGCATATAACCACTTGTAAAGTTGATAAAACAACTTTACCTGCTGGGTACTGTCTTATTGCAGGGATAATTACTACATTTTATTTTCAGAAATCTGTGATACCAGAGGAGTGGAAAGATTCTTCTCTGAACTTGGCAGAAGAATACAATGAGCAGATGGCAACAATCCATTGCATCCTATGGATCATTACTATGGATACCTTGTCAGAACATTTAGGCAGAACATTTTTGCTGACCAAAACAGTGTGTGAATCCCAGAGTAAGCCAAGTGGCAGTCCAATTTCCTTAACTTTTATGATGGCTCTGTTTGGTATAATCCTATGCAGGAAATTAGTTCTATTGGTGTTCAGATATGCTTTTAACTCCCTTGTGTGTTTAGGATTGTGGCCTTAGTTATTGAATTAAGAAGGCTTCACCAGGAGGCTAGGAGAACATGATTTGGCTAATGCTGGAGTAGCTCATAGATTTCATTAAAGACCCTTAACTTTTCCCTTGACAATTCAAACACCATACGAAAATTAACTGCTGGTCAGGTCAACTCCTCTTAGTTTTATGCTCCATGGTCAGGCAAGGATGAGACCCTGACTGCAAATATCTTGTCTTCCTCCTTCCCATTTTTCCTGGTCAAATATAATTTAAATGCTCACTTTCTAGGTCAGAGAATGAGGCAGTTGAAGCATATTAACTGTTAACTTTAATTATGTGAACAGTCCTAGGTGATATCTGACAAAGGCCCTTGAACATATCTTTCTGAACTGAGAATCTAGCCTGAAAAAAAAGATGGCCTAGTATGTTTGAGAAAATAAAATGAAGAGGGGAGGGGAGGACAGGGGATTATATCAGACATACATTTTAAAATTTCATTCTCAGCAACATTCAGGTACCAGTTGTACTCCACAACCTCAAGAGACTTAAAGACCTTGCAATGCGAAATAAAGAAACAAAGCCCCAGCGCAACAAAACAAAACAAGAACCCATGAAGCGACTGTGTAATATGGTAAAAATGGAGTGCAGTGCTACTACAGAATGCAATAAAAATGTCATTGTCAAGGAGTCAGATGCACCTCTCGACATAATCTCCGAAATGTTTCATCTGAAACATAGGCAAAGCAATAAAAAGAGGATATATGTTTATCATTTTAAGCATAACAATGTGAGTTAAGAGCTTAAGAATACAAAAAGTACTTGGAATGAATAGTGCTACCCTTTTTCTTCCTCCTAAGTAGGCATAAAAATATTTTCATTTCCTTCTTCTCTGTCTTCGTCTTCTTTCCCCTCCCCCAATATCATTAATATCAACAAAGTCCATTCATTTCATGTTACCGTTTACAATTTTAATGCACACACACACGCGCACAAATAAAAGATACCTACTGCAATAGAAAGTTGCTTCATTACCTTGGTTTGCTACATTTGCAAATGTAAACAGAGCGAGGCAGAGCCAGCGCTGAATCTTATGCATGATGGAATATCTTTGTTGCATACGTACACTGTAGAAAATAATTATTCAATATGTCAGGCACCATTATTTGAAATGTAATACATTAATATTTACTAGAAAAATAAGTTTTTTTCCTATTTGTTCTCCCAACTTCTTAAATGAAATAAGTTAATCTGACAGTGCATCCAGTAGCTTGTAATATCTCTTGTATATCCCTTTGTTAAAAAATAATTAAAAAAGAAGATCAAAACTACTGGCTGGGCAAATGATTTGAAGTCCATCCTTTGTAGATCCTTGTAGCATCTATGGAGGCTTGTCTTAACAGCACCTTGAACCAAGATTGAATATATAGTTATTTAGCCCTATTTCCCTGAGCAGTTATGCTGAGGAGCTTTCCCTTCATGGAACAGTTTTTACAAAAGCTTTTCATCCCCTCCTTTAAAGTGTGTGTGTGTGTGTGTGTGTGTTTGTGTTTGTGTGTGTAAAGAACGGCCATGAAGGCAAATGCTAGCGAAAGCTGGCATTAAGACTAGTGAAGAGATTGACCACTGCATATAAATATCCAAAGGACTTTTGGGGAAATCAGTCATGCAGTCTACCCTGAAGCAAAATTTAGAAAAACAGCTAATGCAAAACCTTAATACTATGCATACCAAGTTCATAAAATAGCTTCCATATAAGAAACAAATTGTCAGACAGCATACTTTTCTATAAAATGGTTCTTCCTAAATCTATATTTTGGCCCAGGCATGTTACTCACGCTCTCCTGAGATATAGTTTGCAATCTCAAGGCTCACTTTGCTCTGGAATTGAAAGGGAGACCAAAACAGTCTCCATTCTAAAGGGCCTTCCCACATCATCCAAAGCTTATGAGGCAGGCTGGAAAGGAGTACGTCTTTTCTGCAAAATATCTATTTTTATTTTCTATGATCCAAGTCATCTTTCCTGAGGTTTGTTTCTCTTAATTTGCTTTCAGATCAAGAGGGAAGGAACAGAATGCTGTGGCCTTCATGATCTTGGCTACTCACAATGATCGTTCCTAAATCTAGAGACCTGTCCAACATATTGTTGCTAGCTGAAAGACTTGGGAGCACTGCTGTAGACTGCAAGCTGTAGCAATCCACTAGTAGCTACCTACTGGTTTATCGTGAGAGGTATCCGGAGAAAACTACGGCTCCAGATTGCAGAAGTGATGATGCAGTCAGATGGTCTAATAAGGCCAAAATGAACCCCGTGGAAAAAAAATACTACTAGACTTCTGGACATCAGTTTATTTAACAAGTCCATTTCACTATACAGTGTGCATATGTTACTGTACACCTGCTTACTTTAGCATTATACATCTTTGCATTCTAGCCAACTATGTTTTTCGTACAAGAACAAAAGCATGAGTTGTCTGGTTGTTGTTGTTGTTTTTTTTTTCAAAGAAACTTGCCCTGATAGAGTATCTTTTGTATAGTTTTGCTGGGACAAGTCCCAAGTGATGATCCCTTAACCCTGGCCCCACCCCCCGTTCCAGCTGCCATCCATTTTGCTTTACCTTCTTGGGAACTTACTTTTTTGTTTATAAGAAGATAAAAGAAGGAAGAGAAAAGAATGAAGGATTGTATACTGGATAAGGCATGCTTGCTATATGAAGTGCTTAATAAGACATTACAAGCTATTGAATTCCCATCAAGGAAACCTATTTCTGTTTAATTGTGCTAAGTGCTAAGGTTTATTTTATTTTATTTTACTCTTTAGATTTGCCATTCGTTTCCGCTTGTGCACTGTTCCTATGTAGGCCCCTCTGGATGTGAGTTGTGAAGTCATACTTGTCCGTGCAAAAATGTTGGCATATGCTGCACTGAAAAGGTCCACTGTCACCATGGCAACTCATATGCAAGGCATACATCACTTCATCCAGAAAGACAATGCCACAGTGCACACACTTGGTTGACAGTTCATCTTGAGTACTTCGGTCAACTTTCTCTGTTTTAACTACATTCAAGGGACCTTCGTTTTTTACATTTGGCGGTGCCTTAGCTTTCTCCTTGGAGGCACCATTTGCAGTTGGCCCAGGTCTGGAATGCTTTATCGCCAAATCTAGAGGAATGTCATTGTCGGATCCGACAGCTGAAAAATGAGGAGGCAGATTAAAGGTGGGATAAGGCACATAGTTTTGGCAAGGATTTGGTAGGCCAGGCACATGACTCAAGTAGTGTGGATTCCCAGGAACGGACAGCTTATATTTACTCCAGAATCTCAGCCAATCAGCTTCACTTTGAAAGTCATTGTGTACAAATGGAAGCCCAAAGAGTGGGTACTGGTACTTTTCTATGGGGCTTCCAGGCGGCGAATAGTTCGGGTGCTTAGCAGGTCTCATATATTTCTCTATTGGACTGCCTCTCTCTGAGCTTCCTTTTCCTTCTGATATGGAGGAACTATTGCCTGGGTCTCCAGTACTTTCCTGAGGACTTTTAATCTGAATGTGCAAAGGTTGCATCCTTTTATGAATATCCAGAGTTTGGCTGACCAATATTGACTGCGGAGCAGAATGGCTTTTAGTCAATGAACCCTGGGCTTCATATTTACTCAGGCTGGGAAGCTGGATTTCTCTCTGGTGACCTTCTGTTAAATGATCCTCTGACCTCCTATCTAACGGGCTGCCGTTGACTTGTTCCTCGCCGCTCCCTCTTTGCTGTTTGTTTAGCTGCTCAGCCTGAAGTGCCTCCGGGTTAAGGCGCTTTCTCGTCCGTCTCCTAATGATCTGCTCACCATTGTTCTGCTTAATGATGTTTAAAGGCCTGGGAGTCTGCATATAAAACACAATAACATCATAAATAAAAGAGCAATACTAAACAAAGCTTTGAAGAACTGTTTGTACAAACTCTAAATAAGAAGTCCCATCTGGCCTTTCTAGGGGGATGGTTTTAAGAATGGCTTTTCTAAAAACAAGAGGTTGCAAGGTCAAAATGCACTAGAAATTGACTCCTTGATTTCAAATAATAAAAAGCAGATCATGAGTTATTTTAGCTGGTATCTGACTACCGGAGTAAATGTGCATCCATCTTCTAAGATGCATGATACCTTAAGATATCTTGAGCACACATTGCTCATAATAACTTCCACACTGAACAAGGATGCTCAAAATTTCAAGCTTTTAAGAGTGCAATCCTATGCATGTTTAGATAGATAAAAGCTGTGAAATTCCTGCTGGCTGGAACATGCTGGGAATTGCAAGACTTCTTTCTGTCTAAATGTGCCTTGGATTCCTGGTTGGTAGGAACCCTGAAACTACTTCACATTTTGGATGCCACAGGAAACAATGGGTAAGAAACCTAGGTTGATTTCAGTATGAAAGGAGGAGGAAAGAGGTAGAGGGGAAAATGTACAGACATGCCTCTTAATTTCAGATTAATAAACTATAGTTTACTAGACTGGGATAGGCACATTAGAACTGATTTTCTTTCTCCTCTTCCTTTTCTTGCTGAAACCCACTTGGAAATCCTGGCCTACTAGTTGAAGATCTATGGAACTAGGAGTGTGACCCATCAGTTACATATATTAGCAAACTGAAATGAACATCAAAGTAGCTAGTGTGAAAACCATCACCTTTATAGAACTATCTATTTACTTGATGTGTCTCCTTCCTCTATCCTCTTTCCTGCCTTTCCCCTCCAAACTTTAATCTTTTGCATCATTAATTGCAATTTAGCTATAGCTTCTGCATGCTAAATGCCAATTCTATTAAAACCCTAAATCAGAAGAAATACTCATTATGATGTAGATGTTTAATAAGAAGTGAAACTTTTTACCTCATCACAACCCCAGTGGTTGAAACAGTCTCCTCAGTGAGGCAAGTGCAAGTGTATAACATGAAAAAATATGATTATTACCTTAGGTCCCAAACTTCAAGCATGTGTGTTGAATGCTAGGGCCGTTTTTATCAGAGATACTTAAAATTTATTGTATGTTTCCCCCCTTGAGACATGAAAGAGTTGTTCATGATCAACTGTGAAACTTTCAGCAAAAGCAACCAAGAGACTTGTGGCACCTTGGAGACTAACAAATTTATTCAGGCATAAGCTTCCATGGAACATAACACACTTCATCAGATGAAGCTGACGAAGTGAACTATAACTTATGCCAGAATAAATGTACTAGCCTTTAAGCCTTACGAAGGGTAGCCATGTTGCTTTTTGCTCCATTTCCATATTTACTGTCTGGACAGTGTGGATAGTTCTTCATTCTTAAAAGCCAACAGAATGCAGTGGGCAGATGCTTCTTTGGCCAACTCTTTACTCCCATCCAGCATAAACACTCACATGTGACTTTCATAAAGAATCAATACACATGCAGTTTGGATCTTCCAGCAAAAAATCAAATAAGCACTGGCTGTCTCATGGGGTTATGAGGCATGGTCACTGGTTGCAAGGAATGCAAATCTTTATGACCTTACCTAGTTTGAGAAAGAGGGAAACAAACACAGGCCAGCTCAGTTGTAGGCTGCATCTATATCAGCCACAGAATGCGGTAGGAGTAAGATGGCAAAAAGTCCTATGCCACTTAAAACTGCAAGTGAGAAGGTTCACGTTTATCCTCATTCCCATAAAGAAGTCTTAACATTTACAAAACTAGAAGATCAGGCCTGCTGGACTCATTTCGTATTTCCAGTAAGTATGAATGTAGGGTAGCATTCATAAATGGTATTCTGCATCCATAATCTGGCGCAGTCTATTTCACAACCTAGAACTCTGCTGACACATTCTGCTGCATGCACAGACTGGGTCTTAACATCCACATTTCCAAGGGTATGCTCTGAAAATGTGTTATTTTCCTTTATGCAGCTAATGAGCTTCCTTATCTTTGTAATAGATACTATATGAAAATTCAGATCAACTGTTCAGCTGTAATAGTCCTTGTCAAGAACGTATTTTCTTTTTGCGCCCTAGATGCATACCTAATTCTATCTGCCTAGGCTGAAATTACATGTAGTATTATAACGGCCTATATGTCTGTTATCTCAGGATGCCTCTGGACCTCGATACTAGAGTGAGACTCAGTTGGATTGAATGATCTCAGCTGTGTTCCTGTGGGAATGTCTGTAGAGTCTGAGAATGCTGCTACAGTTGGCCTACATGTGACTAATATCCTCCTTCAGTTGTCGGGGATTTGAGCATAAAAATGGAGTTGCTTCATCTTCACTGCAGTTTGCAATTCCTTGGTCCTGAATCAGGCCCTCCTATTGAAAGCTTCAGTATCAGACACTCTGTGCCCATGTAGAGCAGTTGCTGGTAGTGCGGGTGGAATAAAACACCGTGGCTCATTTGGAACTGCAACTGTTTTTATTAAGGTAGTTCTTGTGAAGGGAGGGGATGCCCTTTTGGTAAGTAGGCAGGGACTCAGTGACAATTCTTGTTCTTTCTAAGTGGTGCTTCAGTTCTACATGGTGTCCACAATGATCTATGGGATATAGTAATATAGCTGCCATCTGGAAATCTGTTGAGACAGAGCTAAAGCCAACGCTTACTCTGCATGCTAGTGCCATCAGCAGCAATGGAAAGATGGAGCCTCTGCACCACTGACCATCTCTAGCTCTATTTAATCTCCGCTCTATGTGCATACAGATGAAGGGGATGCTGAAGTACATGCATACTGGGGAAGGGAAGAGAAGGGAAGCCCTGAAATTATGAGCAAGATCTCAGTGAAGGGGCAGCAACCATGCATATGGTCCTCCCAATGGCTAACCCAATTTCCACCAACAGGGAAACAACTGAAAAGTGGAACATGTTGAAACTGAGCAGACACAAAGTCCTCCAAGAAGTCAAACAGGTAATTCCTGAACTTATGCTGCCCTTTGACATAATTTAATGGCTATTGGAAAAAGAAGTCACAGCTGAAGCTATTAAAAGGGGGCATGGTGAATATATAAATATGTAAATTCACATGACTGATATGAATTCATTTGTACCCTATTTGAAAAAGTGAAAAGCCCTGTCTCTGTTCATTATATACTAATTTATAGTCATATGAAACCTTTGCATTTAGGAATCAAAATTTGTCTGTGCATGGCTGTTTAAAGCTTTACCAAAAACAGCCTTCAATAATACGAAAAAAAGAGTAAATTTCTTTAAATGCCTATACTTTACTTCAGTCCGATCTCTTTGTCACAGCCTAGCAAGGTTATGGTTTAATTATATCTTTGGCCTTTGATGGGGCAAAGTTAAATTAAAGTCATTAACATCAGTACACATCAAATCACTGTTCACTACCATGCTCCACTACTGCTAAAAAGGTGTTATCTTAGCTCTACACTAATGAAATAGAAGGTTCTACATCTTATTACCTATTAGCAATGTTGCCAGCATGTATCTGTAAGGATTTATTCCTATGTTTTATGAGATGCTATGGGTTTTTTTAAAAAATATCTTTCAAATAAAAGTATTCTTGTCACTATAAAGTATTCATTATTTAATAGTCAGCATAAAAACTATAAAAGCACAAAATGAATTGAAAGTGAAAACGTATGACTCTTTGTCGAGGAGATATGGGGATTACCATGGGGTAAGGGAAGGGTTGGCAAAGCCACGTTCTGCTTGTTCAGTCAGTAGGCGTTTCACTGAATCCAGCTCCAAAGTATGAAAAATGGTGTTGTTAACTCCTCTGCCAGATGATAAGGGATGGTAACCTTTATCTTGCTTCCAGCACTTCTCTCCAGCTGAATCAAGGAAAGAGGAAGCTTTGCATCGAGGCTTCCCAACTCAGTGTGCACAGATGCTCTGGCATCCTCAGGAAATGCTCTATTTCCTTCCCCATTATTATTATTATTATTATTATTATTATTATTATTATTACTACTACTACTACTACTACTACTACTACTACTACTACTACTAATGTCATGGGAAATATTAGGAAGCACTTCTTTTTCTTCCTCTTGTAGCCTTGTTCTTTCTCTCCTTCTTCCTCTCCGATATACAACTTCCCCCTCTCTCCCAGCTTCTGGCTTTGCTGTTTCTCTCCTGTCCAAGCCTCTCATTCGTCTTGAAATTTCCTTCTGCCTCCCAGCCTCACCATGTTTCTCCCCAAAATCAATTTAGCTCACTTTTGACTAGCCAGGCCCCTTTGGGATCCATTTTGTGGTGGTCGCCAAAGCAGCTTCTCAAATTCCCAATTATACCCAGGGGTCCAAAGAGGTCAGGGACCCCTGCCTTAATGACTTTACATGTGAGATTCCAACAAGAGATCAGAGGGAACTGCAAAGAAATAGCTGCCTTTTTCCTGCATGCCAGCAGAAGATCTAAGAGGCAACACCCAGGGCTTGGCAAGGTGGCAGTCCTAACCTGCATATTAAGCCTTCATAGGCCAGTGGAACATTCAAAAGAGATATCCCTGTGAAACTGCAGAATTACAATGCATTAAGAACATCACCTTGTATTTCTGTAAGAGTAAATCCAGTGGGGGGGGGGGCAATGCAAATCAAATAGATTTTCTTGACTTAGCCCCATAGATTCTCTTCTATCAACCCCATACCAGCACGAACCTGATCTGATGCAAGTTGAGCCAGCATGAAGACTTCTCTTTCTAAATGGACCATGATTTGTGTGACTGTTTTTTGTCCATCCCTCTTACTGAGAATTTGTGCAAAACTTGGGCTTCCACCCTGCAAGTTCCATAAATCTAGACAACTGTGGAAATTATCTGCATAAAATTGTGCAAACTGTGCAGCTGAGTCCCATAGTTTGCAAAAATCTGAAACGAAACGCCAGAAGATGCAAGGTGGCCAAAATTCAAGTGCATATATATATATATGCAGTGAGTGGAGGATGTTTTCATGCTTCTGATCTTAAACATGACAATAAAAACAGAAATTAGTCATATCTAACTGGCTCCGATTTGCACATTTGCAGAAATTCTGTGAAAGCAGCAAAGAAAAACCAAGTGGGTTTGCTTTTAACTGTCAGGTCAGAAATGTGTCATGGAACTCTAACAGAATGTGTTTTCTAGTGTTGGCTGTGGTTTGGATAGGAAAAAATATTCAATCATGTTAGTGTTTAACCATGGGAGGTGGTTGAGGCCCCATTGGTGAAGGTGTTCAAGGATAGGCTGGACATGCATGTGGTTGGCATGTCATGAGTAGAACCGGTTGGAGCCAGGGGTCAGACTAGATGGCCTGAGAGACCTCTTCTGACTAGCTCTATGTTCTATGTTTCTATTTAGGGCAGCAACCTCTTCTTTTCTGGTGCACTCCTCATTTCTCACTTATACAGCACAGAGGTGCCAAACAGTCTTCATCATACTGGGAATAGCTGTACCTATTGAATTTGCCTTCTACGGAAAGGTAAAAATTTCATTTGCTTGTTTTTCATGAGAATGTACCAAAATCTCCAATGTTCATCTTTGGAAGAGAAAGTACTTGAGATTTAAAATAATTCAAATGCAGGAGAATTGTTCATTTCACTCAACTCTAGCTGGGGATGCTCAGGATTGTAGTCTAACATATTTGAGGGTACAAGGTTTGGGACTGCTGGCATGGACTTGCCAGTCGTGGCCCCCAGGGATTGGTCAGTGCTCAGTGCTAGAACACATGCTCTGTATGTGTGAGATCCCAGGACCAATGTCTTGTGTCTCCAAGAAGGGTTGCCTGCATCTCTGGAAGTCTCTACCAGACAGTGTTTATAAGTCCCTATGATCTCAGACAGGGGTCTCCTACCCAGAAATGCCAGGGACTGCATGTGTGACCTTGTTTGTGTAAGCATTTGCTGTGCCATTGAGCTACAGGCATCCTCTTGAAGCAACTTAACAAGTTCTGCACAACAAGTTTCTGTAAACTTCTTGGGCAGGAGGAAGAAGCAGTTCCATTTTTTTTAAAATTCTGTATCAAAGTAAGTAATGCCTCATTGGCAATCTCCAACATGGGCTCCTTTCCATGGTGTATCAGCCTCCTCCATAATGAATCACATCTGATTCCAAAGTAACTACACTGAGAGAAGCAAAGCTAGGAAATTAACCTCAGATGCCCAACTTCAGCCGAACTGCCTAAAACCTTCCCGCATAAAACAAGTAAGTTCTTCCTACCGAGTGAAGCTTCTGGTAGAGACCACACGCGTTGCATACATATCCTCCATTTGCATTCTTTCGCCAGAGAGAGGTCTTTGTGGTCAGGCAATTGGCACAAAAAACACCCGAGCCTCTACGTCTCTGAAACAGGGGAAGGGGGGAACACAAGGTCAAAGGTTAGTCACATGATCAGTGGAGTTAGGACAAATCAACACAGGAGTTTTGTCTCTAGGCTGGCAACAACTGATAGTATAAAAGCACATTGCCCATAATGAGGTCAGGTTCAATTGTGCTTAATAGGCACCACTGATTTTCATTACAATTTACCCTACAGTGATGGATGAGGTGTGCAAAACACCACTGGTTCTCTCCTACCCATGCACAACCCCCCAGAAACAGCTTTAACTTTTTGAACTTTAGAACTTGTGCCTTTTAATAACAAGGCACCGAACTCTGAATTTCAATATTCTGCTTTGACAAGAAATGATTTCTGCTGATCTTGTCACCTGCCTATTGCAATTTTTAATCATATTATTTAAAAGTGTGGTTATTGACAGAAAATCTTTACAACTTTCTCATTAAATCCCATTTGTGTACTGCCTCATTCCAAATCCTGTAAGACAGTGTCTACTTAACTAACAGTATATACAACAGTGACTTACAGGCTAACCTAATTCTGCACTCCACATACACTGTTTTCTATTCCCCATAGTAGATCATGGCTGAATTTCAGCAGTAAAAAGGTATGGCATTGCTAATTGCACTACCGTCAAAGCTGAGATGAAACCTGGCATCACTGTCTCATCAATGAATATATTTTAGTTAGGGTAACTAAAGGTATAGCTCTTCCAAATGCAAAATGAGCAGTAACCAGGCAGGTGGCTGAACTCTACAGCTTCACTAATAGCCCATCTTGTTCAGCAACAGCAACACCAATGATGAGAGAAGCTTGTTAAATTCCTCCTGTGGCAAAATGATATCATGGAACTGTTCATTTCAATAAGGAGAGTGAGAAAAAAGCTGCATTTGAGGGTACAAAGTGCTAGCAACGACGACACCGCTATCTTGCTCTGCCCCCATTTTTCCCTGTAAAAGCAACACAAGAATCCAATCTGTTACAACACTGGAGTTTAAAATAACTTTTATTAAAAATTCTCCATCCTGCACAAGTGTGGATGAATAACAGTTTCAGTAAAAGATTAAACTGATTTTGTTCTAAATTAAAAAATTACTAGCCCTGTAAATCAAAATTTCAAGGTTTCGTCAAATTTAAGTAATTTATTTAACTTTGCTCCATACTGTAGGAAAGGGGGTACTGGTGCCAAGAAAGTACAATGGTTATAATTGTACTCTGATACATTTCAAATGGAAAGCTTTTTGCAGACATAATTTTGGCTTGGAGTGTGGAACACTTTTTTGGCATGGAAAGGGCATTTGATTCATCGGGTGTTTCACAATGTATCACTAAAAAGACCTGGTGATCAGCCAGTTCCCTATAGGGTAATTTTTCCATCCAGATGCAAGTGCTATCAGAGGCCCTCGTCAGCTAAACTAATTATGATCTTGCATTTGCTGATGCCTGCTCACTCTAACGTTCGACATCCCCCATTAATCATCAATACGAGGAAAATGAATGAAACACAGAGAAACGAGGGCTGGTAACCTACACGACCATAAAAATCTAAAATGAGTGCAATAATTTAACAAGATTGGGGAAATGTTTTTCCGCGAGCACCAAAGTCAGACTAACAATTGCCCTTTTAAACCAAGAACACAATTTCATTAGTGTAGCAGGTTGTGTTACTTTAAGTTGAGGTAATAAAATCAAGAATGTCAGCAGAATAATCTCTTGCTCCCACCCCTCCAACCCAACACCATTAAATCAGAATAATAATCACACCTCACTGTCTCATGTAAATCACAATATAATAGGACTGATCCTTATGCAGCAGACTTCATACTGTTTTTAAGTTTGGATATGCAGCATATATTGTTTAATCGGTGTGTGTGTCTGCACACAGCATTAAAAGCATAAGGCAAGTTACACTGCTAGAAGGTAAAACACATGCTCACTGTGAATTCCAGGGAATACGTGTGCATAATCAGCATGTAAAGCTTTTTTTAAAGGATTGGCTAACTTATCCTTGAAAGAGTTTGACTGATTTACCAAATACTCTCATTGGAGATCAATAAACTTTTAATTTAATAAGTTGACCATGCAAAGCGTTTGATTAAATGGAAACTGTTTTACATGCTGATCATTTGGATCTGATTGAAGAATGTCTCTGCTTTCTTCCAGATTTTCTTGGAGATGATGAGCACTTGCAGTGGCATGCTGAACAGGGTGTGGTCTTAGCATGAGTCTTTCCATGCTTGGTGTGATGATTATTTTTTTTTTTTTTTTTTTTTCAGTTAAGGCCAAGGAATGATTTTGAGCAAAAGACTTGTGGTAGAGTAAACTGCTCTGGAGTTACAGTTCGCAGGGACTGGGCTGTATACTATGGAGATGTAATAAATAAAACCCCATACAATTCAAATACCAGCCTGTACTTGAAGTTCTTCTTGGCCCTAACCAAAGGAAATGCTTCTGACTAGTATAAACAGAGAAGGTAGTTCTTAAAAAATAACTTTCTTGCTATGGAGCACATAGGCAAGTTCATAATGCTTATCAATGCACCCAAAATTTTAAAGACGATTTAACTACATTAGGCATTGCGATTCCATCAGATACATGTGAGGGGGTGTCTCAGTGTTCAAGATAGACTAAACAGCTGTGCAAAAGTTTGCCAAATCGATTGAGTTAGATTGACAGGTACCAGACTAAGGACTTTGGGAAAGATACCTGCTAAATCACTACAGCTAAATCTCTATTTCCAAAGTAAAGTATCCAGTGGTATCATTTTGTGAACACAAATGATACTGTGCTACTGGAATCCATGTTCTGAACTATGCACAAAGAGAGAATCTGAATCTTCCTCTTGTAGAGCCATTTTCAGGTGAGCAGACCAGGTGAACTAACACACATACTGCCAGTGCAATGTACAAAAAACCAGAAAGATTTGGCAGAGCTCCACTAGTGCTGTCTAAGCTTGCAGGGTGACACCACTGGAAACAACGCAGTGGGTTGTACTGAACAGCATTGTTCCGCTGATGGAAGCAACTCCATCTTTGGAACCATGAGTGGACAGTTGCTCCCCGCAGTCTTCTGTGTGCCTTCATAATCTGCTATAGGGGCTGGGAAACCCCCTGGAGCAGATTTTCTGGGGACAATAAGGTCTGCAGTGTGGAAGACAGATGGGAAGATTCCAGTATCCCAGGAGTTAGCCACTGGTGCAACACTGGACTTTTTTTTTTTATTATTATTTGTAACTTGGGGTCATGGGCCCGAGAGAGAGAGAGAGAGAGAGAGAGACAGAGAGAGACAGAGAACAAGAATAAGCTCACATCTGTTGAAATATGTATTCCAAGACTTGATGGGATATGATTACTCACATAACTGGAAATATGCTCACTAGATTATCTGAAAGATTATAAGTGGCAGGGAGGGGGGGGTAAGACAGAGAAAATAATCGTGAAATGTTGGTCTCTGACAAGAAAGGAAATAAGCTCTGAATTGATGGAAAAATCTGAATATCCTGTTCTGACAGGGAATGAAGTGATATGGAAATGATTAACTTTGCCCAGTTAGGACTACAGGAAAGATGCAAAGTATTTAATAGGTGCCAGTGAATGTGTAAGCTCTATGTATTGGGAATCCACACACTGGTAAGCAAAATCATTCAGGAAATATATTATCCATTGAGGAATCAGTAATACCCTTATAAGCTATTCCTTCTATTGCTGAGTGGCTATTTCATAAGAAGGGTGATCCTGGGTCAAACCAAGGACCATCTGCTCCAGTGTTCTGCTCACACATCAGCCCACCAGCTGTCCATGAAAATGCACAGCTGTCCATGGGAAACCCACAAACAGGACAGAAGTACCCATGTTCCTTAGCAGGCAGTGCCTCTAAGGTAACGTATACCCAACAGCATATAGGTAACATATAGCCAACAAGATGAATAGCCAGAAATCGCCTTAACTTGCATGATTTTTCCAATGGCCATCCTTTTATAGCCATCCAAATTACTGGCCGACATTAGTGTCATGTGGTAGTGAATTCCACAGTCTAATTCTGCCTGTGTGAAGGGGACTTCTTTGCATATGCACTAAAACTCCCACCATATATTTCAAATAAAGTCAAAGAGCACAAGGGCATTCTACTTCTAGATGGTCAACATGATGGTGCCACTAATGCAGCTTCCTTGATTGCAATGAACGTATCTCTAGCTTGTAATGCTCTGCTTTATGATGGCGTGAATGGCACTCCAAACGCTCTTCTGGCAGGATAGGCAGAGTGGCGCAACTCCTAGGGGCTTGCAGCTGGGTTTTGCCTGCAAGTACTTGCAGAACAAAATCAGGGGTTTTGTAGGGATCGGTGTCATCACAATCATAGCCTAGCCTTGCCACAGCAGCACAAACCTTTGTGGTGCCTGCCTACAGCCTGTATCTATACGCTGACCACGGCCTGCTCCTGCCTTTGTCTTCTCCTCTGGTCCTCCCACATCTTGCCAGCATTTGACACGTGTTTGTTCCTCACTTTGCTTCTGGCCCTACCGCACCTTGTCAAGACCTTCAATCCCCTCATTTTCCCCTATTCTTGGTCATAGATGACGACCTCCTTACATCCTGGAGCTGACATCTCTGTCTTGAACTATGAAAAGAAATTACGTGTGTTTGTGCATGCATTTGTGTGTTATGGAAAGAAGTGGTATGCATGGACAGAATTGGTGCCCAAAGCTAGCAACTATGTTAACCCACTTGCAAAATTTTGTTGATGTCAAACCCTTGCTCTTGCAGAACCTGATACGAATTGCTATGGAATGATGCGAACCCACAAGACACTTGCTTTTCAAAAGCATACTGTTGACAGAGTTCTTGATGATGGTTGTGAGAGCCATGGATGCATTATTTTACACTAATTGGTAGTTATTGGCTACACCATTTTATTAGATGTTGAATATCTTCCCTATTTTTGTTCATTATCTTGCAAAGTGTGATTACTTCCATTAAGTTCTCAAATACTCTCTTGCTTCTAGGTA